CCGAAGTGAAAGGTTAACCGCGGCCACTCTCCAACGATCGGAACATCGACTCAAAGGAAAGTGAATGAGTTGATCCGACTCTACGTTCCAATCGAGAAACGCATTCCCTCAAAAGACAACTTCCCCTACAACCCAACATTACATCAATATGAAACCTCATGAGGACTACGGGGAAGGACAAGTGCACTAATATGATCTTAAATTCTTGTTTATTGACAAATAACACGATTATTACATGTTCTCTCCGCTTGAAGGGTATTTTTCACTCAACGTATTCTTGTAGACACCTCACGCTTCAATGAACTTCTCGTAGTGAAGGCAAATGTCAAGGCTGACTCCATTGCCTCGAACCGCCTTTACTTTCTCTGGCTTGGAGCCCCGATCAGACAACAACAGGATGCATTGTTGTCTCAGCTTGGAATAGTAGTGTAAACGGCGGTTCTCCACGACACAGGCGAAGGAGTCCATAGGGATCGTGTTGCTGATGGTCCCTGCAGTGCCGTGCACCTCGACACGACCGAAAACATGTTGGGTATTTGATCAGGACCCCACAACATTGACCGTCTAGTTTTGTCTCAGTCGGAGGTGAACGCAGTTTGATCCAGATGATTCCTGATGAGCGGCACTTGTCGGAGGATACCGGAGGCAGGTAGTGAGGAACTCAACCCATGAATGAGGACGCAGGGTATCGTGCGGTGACAGAAGAATCTGTGTCAGATGTTTATTTGAATGCTGCTTACCGTAAATATTCTAATAGACGGGCACTCTCCAATAGACGGGCACTCTCCAATAAACGGGCATCCCCCGGTGTATATGAGAAATAGACGGGCAGTCTCCAATAGTCGGGCAGTCTCCAATAGTCGGGCAGTCTCCAATAGTCGGGCAGCCTCCAATAGTCGGGCAGTCTCCAATAGTCGGGCAGTCTCCAATAGTCGGGTAGTCCCCGATTGACGGGCTTGCGCTTATGATCGGCGCGGCGCTTGTATTCAGCATTCAACACCACGGTGAAGCCGTGTAGACCGCGAAAAATGGTTCCAATTCGTAACCTCCTCTCTCGAAAACATACTCTCCGCCGTCGCCGTCGTCACTACGCTGCGAGCGACGACCGCTCCGCGCTAAATGCTGAGAGCAGAGAAACAAAGTTCAAACAAAGAATATACCTGATCATCGTGCTTCGGGCTGCTGCGTTTCTCGGGCGAAAAATTGTTTCCTGTTCTCCGTCAACTGTCTTCCTCGCCCTGAGAACCCAAGAACTCGAACCGAGGATCAATCTCCTTTCAAAACACCGCTCGGGTGTGGAGATTCCTGGGTAACATGGACATCCAGAAAGGAAGTGAGATTGTCGGAGAATCGAATGTACACGAAGCCTCGGAGCCCGTGAACGAGAACCTCGGACACAAATCGTGCGGTACCACGTCCTCGGATCCCGAGGATGACGACAAGGACGATGAGTTTTGTCCTCCAACCTCTTCCAAGAAGTCGTATACAATTTCATTTAAGCTTAAGGTGATAACATGCGCCGAGGGAGGCTCGAAGAGGAGGTTCAGACACGGAAGCCAGAATCGCAGAAGCCAGAATCGCAGAAGCCAGAATCACAGAAGCCAGAATCGCATAAGCCAGAATTCTCATTTGCCAGGATTCTTATAAGCCGGAATTCTCATAAGCCAGAATTCTCATGAGCCAGAATTCTCATAAGCCGGGATGGACCGTCGCCCTGACGGTGCCTTCCAACGCGCAACGAAGCCTACGCTTTTGATTCTGGAACGATGAACGCGCACGCGCGAGGTGTCGCTTAAGTGATGTTCTGGGATCTCAGAGGAGACGGAACGTCGCACCGAGAGTGGCCGCTGCATCTTTCAGCTGATAACACAGGCTGTGTCGTT